AAAAAATAAAGATACATAATATAAATTCAGTACACAGTAAACTAAACAAATTATTATTCAAATTATATCAAATTATTATAGATGTCCAGCAATGAACCGTCCCAGCTATGACATTGCCAGGAGGGCGCTACTATCTATACTGGATTATTAGTTCCGGTTTTTGACATTATGTGTATTCGCTCATTCACAAGATTAATGAATAAAATTATAAAATGTAAATACTAACGCGACGAAACTGATGAAGATCGTCTGTCGCTTGAGGTGTGCCGTGGCTTTTCTGCCGGTTTCTCTTCCGCCGGTTTTTCGCCTGTAGCAGACCTATAACAAAATAAAACATCAGCATTGCAAGAATAAATATATCCTTGGACATTTTACACTGCGCCTCTAGTCCCAAACTAAACAAAGCTTGTACTATGGGTTAAATATCTACTTTATTTATTTTATCAAGAGTTATTGCACAGAATAAGTAATAGTACAGGTACAGAAGGATTACTCCGCAAGACGATTTAAATAAATGAGAGTCTTGCTACGACGCGATACAATGGAATTCAGCTCACACAGCACTACGTACCTACAATTTTATTCACCTACAAGTTTTGTCTCTTTCTATCGCGTGCCTCTGAACTCTTCTTACGCTGTTAGGGTTGCTGTCTAGTGAAAAAATAATTAATCTACTTATTTGTAAACGTATGTAGGTAAGTATGCATTCATTATGGAAAACCTTGGGAGAGGCCTTTGTCCAGCAGTGGACGTCATTTGGCTGAAACGAACGAACGCATTCTGAGCAGTAGTCATAGTAGGTTAGGTTCCTATACTATCCTAAGAATTATTGATTACCTACATGGCCAACATACCTTTCAGCGTCTTTGGGAAGCGAAAAAAAAAGATAAATCCGGTAGATTTCATTTCGAATTTAAACACCCGAACGCCGCACAATATTTCTTTCTCTTTATGTCCATTTTTAAATAATACTTCGATCATAGAATTAGGTACATACTACAACGCACGCCAGCGTCCTGACCGGCGCGCGCGTGACACTCGACTGATATAATACCCGCCGGCGGGGCGCTTCGCTGTAGGTAATTATCGGATGTACCGCGCGGAGTGAGCCAGGCCTGGTTATTGATACTTTTTGCGGATGTTCTTTTTGAGGGCATATGCAATATTCGCTGCAATGCAATAGTAAAATGTACTAACTTAGCGGGTGATGCTGATCTAGATTTCTTTCCATCTTCAGCGGGTTTGTCTTTCTTATCCTCATCCTTTTCGGTTTCCTTCTCGGCGGGGGCGGGGTCAGTAGTGGTGGAGTTTTGATTGACTTCTTCTTTCGCCACTTCTTCCTTCACCTCTGGAGACTTCCCGTTTTCTGTTTGTGAAGAAAAAAGCAATTGAAAAGTTATTGCATAAAATGCAAGGTATACATAATACATAGGGTACAAACAGTCTTTTCCTTTTAGCTGGATCATTTGAAATCAGACAAATCTATGAAAAAAGAATCCTTCAAATCTAACATTATCAAAAAAAATATCCCATCCATAAAGATGCGCAGCGCACGTCTCGTAGCATAGGAAACAGTGTTACTATCATACGTAGCAAACAATAATAATTAATAATCGAAGATGTCAAACAGCTGTACGGGTGAATTTAATTAATTTATTTACGACATCCATCAAATGGGAAGTGATAGAATTTACAATTTTTACTAATTTTACTAAAGTCCGGCCGCCGAGCAGATAGAATTTCGTCCAATGACCCCAAGTTACCCATCCTTATCACTCGCACGTAATTATATTGCCGTCGCGACTGTGCGACGGGCGGCCGCAGTGAGTGCGAGCGCGACAGCAATATGATTACACGCGAGCGGTAAGGATGGGTAGCTTGGGGTCATTGGACGAAATTCTATCTGCTCGGCGACCGGACTTTGCTAAAAATACACTCAACATCAAATAAACCGCACCTTCCGCGACGCGAACTTTAAAGATTTTCTTCTGACACAATCATGGTACCCCAACAATATTGGTGTTATTTGAAAGCCCAATAAATATCCTTAAAGAAAAATACATTTCATTTCTAAATAAATGATTAACATATACCATAAATGTGACTTGAAAATAGACCTCACTTTGGCTGTGGGATCAATTAGACCAATTTTTATGGTTATAAAACCAAATAAAGATCTCACGTGTCCTCTTTAACAGATGGATAGCGATTAATCCCAACTTGACAGTTTTATAGTCATAAAAAATGGCTATAGCGTAACTACCTATTTTTTGAAGAAGTGACTCTGGATCCTTGTAAAGACACATTTTTGGGGTAAAACCCTTTCCTATAATGAAACGAAGTTTAGAACTAGGCTTTCAAATGGTACCAACGTTGGTGGGAAGTGGGGATGCATACGTTTGATAAGTGCTTGTCGCGGGAGGTGCGATTTATTTGATGCCGAGTGTAGTATTCTGAAGTTTTACGATAGTAAGTAGTACCTTTTGCTTCTGGCACTTTGATTTCATCTACAGCGGCAGCGGTCTTCGGCGGGCTGGTGTTGTCGCGGCTGCTCTTGTCGCGGCTGGGGCTGCCCTTGTCGCGGCTGCGCCTCCGCGACCGGCGTGGCGATCCCCCGCTGCGATGTCTGAAAGATATTGAATTATATTATTTAGTCGAGATCTTTTGCTAGCAATGGTGACAATAATCCAATCATAAGCTTATAAAATATTATAAGTTTATCATTTTAAATGTGTAATTACAGTAGACATAGAACAGCCCCCCTAGACAAAACGCACTTTTTGATCGAATCGAAAATCGAATCCGTCAAATTCCATACAAAAAAGGGGCTTTTCGACCACTTTTCGACTGGTTTGCGATTATAATGGCACTTTGTCTAGACCCACTGGGGACTTAGTGCGAGTTGACATCAAACGTCTTCACTAGTGACGGCGTAAAATAATGGCATTAAGGCTGGGTTGCACCATCATACTTTAACTTTGACAAACGTCAAAAATCTGTCAAATTCCATACAAAAAGCACCGGTTATCGTCAAAATTACCGTTAAAGTTAGGTGGTGCAGCTCAGCCTAAATGTATGATGGATTGTACTATCGGCAACAGTGTTAGCTACCCATTGCCGGTCATGTCGTCTCGTTCTATCGCAAAGAAACACCATTTGATGACAGCGAGAGCAAAAACGGAAATAGATAGATAACACTGGCCGTGTGTACAGCGCCCTTAGAGTAGGCGCACACCGTTGAATTTTCGTCGGCCGATAGTTTAATCGGGCAGTTGATCAGTATGGGCATGTATGGGAGTGCACACACTACGCCGATTCGATTTGGCCGATTCTTCATACAATTTAAAATCGGGCACAACTATCGGCCAACTAAAAATCAACGGTGTGCGCCTACTCTTAGCGGATACTTTCAAGAACTAAAATCTTCATAGATTTTTTGAGGCGCTCGCTAGTTTGCATCATTCAAACGTCGTCACGTTTGAATGATGCAAACACACACTAAGCCCTCAGTTTATGAATCTACTTGTAATTATGTAATCGAACGTTAGTAAAGTCGTGCGCAACCATTTAAACGATAGGTGTTACACAATACGATGACTTTAGTTCTAAACAAATACTCACTTTCTGTCTGTGGAACGGTCGCGTGACCTCGAGCGCGAGCGACGACGGTCTCGCGAGCGACGCCGCGACCGGGACCGCGAGCGCGTCCGGCGGCGTTCCTTGTCTTTGTCCTTGCTATCCTTGTCCTTTTGTTCTTCCTACGATAATAAAAAAAAACATTAACACCATGCCAGAACAATTCAGAACAATAATTTCATATCTAGGAGCGATACTCACCACCATACGCTTTTTTATCTCTTCCTTTTTCTGCTGCGTAAACGACTCCGGTATCCCATTCTCGCTCGCTTGAGCGCTAAGTAAAAGCTCCCACAGTTCCCCCATGAACAGACGAGCGTTCTTCCCGTTCAAAAATCCAGTCAGATTGATCTGCATTTTCTTGGGACAAGGGAACTAGGAGCCGAGGTTACGGGATCGGGAAAGAAAAAAAGGTCTCATTATTAATCACGCCTAGCTCTAAATTTTTACACCCTAATCGTAACTCTTTGATATAAGTAACTGCTGATTCGTTAACGTTTATCATGTGAGTTAGGTGCCAGTTGATTTTTATATGGAAAATTAAAAATATTTTATGTGAAAAGCCGTCAAGAGCGCCACGCGATCTATCGTTTAGTCGTGAATGAGATCAAATTGCACTGAAATGACTCTGGTAGGGAAGCGTAGATAATGTAGGTACAGTTTGTCAACGTGTGATTAGTCTTCGTGTGGCGGGCGCGGCGGCGGCGGCGGCGGCGCGGCGGCGGCGGGGCGGCGGCGGCGGCGCGGCGACGCCGGAGTCTAGGCACGACATTCGCAGATCACTCTTCAATCTCTTGCATCTGTAAGGGTTTTGCGAACACAACCACATTATGCTGAACGCAAGCCTAACAACGGGAACTTCCCTACCTCGAGTCAGATCAATCTCTTGACGGCTTCGAAAGAGATCACTTTATTTAAACTTTTGATAAGCTAGGGAACTCCACAGCGCATATTCTCTGAACATGAGTTAGCATTGTAAGTATTTAATTTCCCCGTAAATACCGATTTAGAATGCTAAGGCCTCCGAAAGAGTGGAGCCGGCGGGCGGCGGCTGCGGTCGGCGGCGGCGGGCGGGGGCAGCGACGGCGCGCTAACCGGTGGGGACCATAGAAATATCCATACGCAATCAATATACATATGACACCATACTTCAATTGCAGTTTCTTTTGTACAAAGAATAGCAGTACACACAGATTGTTTAATTTAAATACTGATACGAAAGAAAAGAAACTGCAATGATTACATTCTCGCATTAATATGTAACGAATAAAATAATGAAATAGATTAACCACCTTTTCCTCAAGTTGATTGTTGACGTAGTCGATGACCACGTCGTCTTCCATCTTCAGGATTTCTGTTATCTTCTGTGTGATCCACGGCTTCAGCACATCCAGCTTTACCTTCGACATGTCCACCTGGAGAATTTTTGGTATTATTATTATCAAGAACATTACCTGCTACAATCTCTACTAATACCAATATTGTGTAGCAGTAATGGCACTGACTGAGATAGTGATGTTATGTACACAAGCCTCAGTATACAATACCTATACAAAAATAAAATTCTACTTTTATTTGCACACATTCATGTGTTTAACTACTAAAAGTATATTAAACTCTTATAATATCTACAACTTATGAGCAAATCTTAGTAAACATATCAAACAAACCTGCTGTGTCAAACAATCGCCGAACTTCATTTGTTTCATGAGCTTCTTCTCCTTGTCGCTGAAGCGGGTGTCCTGCTCAGTGCTCGTGCCCTATAAACACCCAACAGCATTAGAAAATGACGTAATAATTTCCTACACTCGGAACTTTTAAATGTGGGATAACAGCATTCAATAATAACAAAAAGTTGACCATGTGGTATTTTACAGTGATTATTACCCTAAAATACCACACATGTAAAATTACAATTGCAGAATGTCATACTTACACAAAAATGTTAACTCAAGAACAATACCATGAAAATGAAAATGGCATGTTCACATTACAATGTTTACTCGCAACTGCAAAACTATTTACTGCAATATTTAAATAACCATTGAGGAACAGCTGCCTTACTCTAGTCAAATAGTTGTCAACTATCAAAATCTGTGTATGGTCTTTGAATGAATCCATTCTTCTGCTGCTATCACAGACATGCAAAGATATTAAATTGTACCAAGCAATTATTGTTAGTATACCCAGTAACTCTTACGAATCAAAGCCATGTCAGTTAAAAAGTAAGAACACAACAGAAGTTTCTAAAACGATGAAAAATTAACATTTTTTTATGACAACTATCATTCTTAATGAAACAGGTAAAGGTCGCTAAGAAATAATACCTGCAGCTTAATCCTACAGCTTAGTTGATGTTCGGGATCATTCAAACTATTTCTATATCTTTATATTGAAAATTATGTATCCGAAAATACTATTTATTGCGTAAAATTGGATGTGAAGCCAAAGAAATCGCACATGGAAACTGATATCGGGGGCGTGGGTTGTGTGCACAAACCTCGAGCATCTCGTCACATTTATCTGTAGGCTATATACTGTAATAATAACTCACCGTGTACATCATCATCATCTTGTTAGATTGCCAGAAAAATCAATAGGTATAATCCTTACGACAAAATGGCTAGGGTTAGCCCCCGCCAAGCGTTATGACGCCGAACCTTCAACGCAAACGAAACTATATTCACTTGAAATTATATATAGTCCGTAACTGCTTTGCACTATAGTAAAAGCACGTCAACACTCAAGAAATTACATTTCCATAGCGTAAAAATACAATAATTCACACAAAAAGAACCACCACATCAATGTGATCGACAGCCATTTTGGAAATGAATGATTCGTTTCGTTTCGTTTTCGTATTAAAAAAAAAATTGCTGGCCAGTGGTGTTGCAACATTCATTCAAACGACTATTATTTTAAATCGAATAAAAAAAATATTCGACTTTACCGACAACTTATTTTTTTAATTTTAAAACTTTTTTAACAACAAACTAGATATTGTGTTGATAGATGGTGTTTCACGGCATGAATATAGATGACCCACGCTGAACTGTCCCGCAAAACTCAATGACAGGGGGGCGCTACCATCGTTCAACTATATGGTTTCCAACATGGCAAAAATCTGAACCAGCGATCCGGTATTGACGGTGGCGCCCCACTGTCAATGTCATCGACAGGACAGTCCAGTATTTTGGAACTATAGCCTGACCAGGAACATAAAAACCCTGGCATAGAGGCGCGTCAATTGCATTTGATAGTGCAACACTGAGTACAGTTGTACCTGTGTTAAATTAATAGACTAACTTTATGTATCAGGATTCAGGATTACGGGCTAATTTGATATTTTCATACATTAACGAAAAAATATTATTATAGGTAACCTGGTTTAAATAAATTAAATGAAACCATCAATCGAGCTGGTAGGATTTATTATATTATTCATCAATGATCAAATTCAGAACTTGAATATTCAACTGCAATGTCTGCTCATGAACGCTTCAAACTCGGTACTTCTTTCCCAATTCCATAAAATTCAACACGAAAGTGACAAAAAAAATTAAAATGTGTAGTTGAAACAAACCACAGCGTAGTGGACTGTACTATACGATAAACATGTCAGTCAATTTGACAACCTTTGTCGGAAACATTATTCAATGAAAATATTGTCCGAACCCTTAGTATTTCTCTTCGACCAATACTTTAACACATTGTAAACCACTTTTCTTTCACGACTATAAAAAGATTTTAGCAATTTAATTCACAAAATCAATTGCACACATTTAAAATAAAGTTTGTTTACACTTTGACAGCAATAGACTGACATGCAAGATGACATGTCTATGAAGTTTTCAGTTACTGTTGCCATTAAAAGAAATTAGTACCATTAGTTTTCCGCAACATGGCGAGGGTTTTTATGTTCCTGGTCGGGCTATATACCTATTTACGAATGTCAAAAACAGTGGTTTGCCAAGCGCTGTAGATTTTAACCAATGACGATAGATATAGTTCCAAAATACTGAACTGTCCTATGCATGACATTGACAGTGGGGCGCCACCGTCAATACCGGATCGCTGGTTCCGATTTTTGCCATGTTGGAAACCATATAGTTGAACGATGGTAGCGCCCCCCTGTCATTGAGTTTGGTGGGACAGTTCAGCGTGGGTCATCTATAGCGCTTTTTAGACGTCTTATTTATTTGACTCAAGTTTTTGTACCTGAATGTCTCCAACTTCCTCATTGGCTTGGCCCTAGAGCAATTCCAAGTATACCATCAATAAAAGCCTAATTAGAGTCATCAAACCTCTCAGTCATTCAATTAGAGCCATTAGAACTTCATAACTATGAGTTGTTTTCTATGTGTAAGCTGAGGACACGTGTCTCCAGCTGACACATCTGTATCTTCGTAAATATTTATGCTACGATAATGTATTATATCTCATAAATTAAANACACATAGAAAACAACTCATAGTTATGAAGTTCTAATGGCTCTAATTGAATGACTGAGAGGTTTGATGACTCTAATTAGGCTTTTATTGATGGTATACTTGGAATTGCTCTAGGGCCAATGAGGAAGTTGGAGACATTCAGGTAGTTTTTGTTCCAACTCTGCCCTCCATTTTTATCTTTAGCTTCATGGTGGCGACATGAAGCTAAAGATAAAAATGGGGGCCAGACTTGGAACAAAAACTTGAGTCAAATACCTACTTATCTCTATCTCGCTCTCTGTGGGCCGACCTCTCTTTTAGTGTGGACTGTAGTATTGCTATCTCCTTATTTAAATCTTCTAGTAAATTCTTTGAAATAGCCAATTCACTAACCAAATACAATCCCAATTCCTGGGAAATCGGTACCAAATCGGTAATATTGAGTTTCATTGACTTTGAGCAAATTTAATTTTTTTGTTTATTTAGAAAGAGAGAGTCTGCCCACAGAGAGCGAGATACGTAGGTTGTGCTTCAAGTACGTATTCGGAGTGTGGCCTTCATTTTTATCTATAGCTTCATGGTCACAAAGTGTCAAACTGTCAAAAGTGTCAGAATTCAGTCTGTTTTTTAGGTTTTTTTGGGGTTCAGCATAGCAGCCATAGAGAAAAGTAATACATGTTTGATTTGATGAATTAATTCGTTTCAATTATTTCTTTATTAATTTGACTTGCTCAGTGTTAATTTGGTGTTGTACTTGCTGCGACTTGTGGGCCACTTACAAAATTCTATAGTAGTTCCTTTCGCCGTAACAGGTTTGTGAGAAGTAAGTTAATATAAAATTTTGTAATAAAACTTGTTTTCGAAAGTTTAGTTCACGTTCACAGTCAGTAGCTCAGTAGGTAGGTTATTTATTTTAACACCCCGGTGTTTTTAAATTTTATAGTATTTGTCATCTTATGTACCGCTTATCAAGTAAATAAGTAAATGGATTTGATTTGATTTAATTATTTAAATGTTTGAAGAATAGTCTTTAACTTTATTACCAGTAAACTTAAAATATTGTCACATGGAAAGCCTTGTTTTTTTTATTTTTTGTATTTATTAGAGAATAAATTTTATAATAATACATTAACTTAAAATGACTCAAAAGTCTGTATTTATGTTATTTAAATTCTTACCTTCCAATCCAACAATAAATAATGTTTTTGTTCTTGATAATGAATGAGTTAAGATACTGAAACTTTTGCATCACTCTTCATACCTATTAAAGTTAATGTAGATAAGTTAAACAAGTGCTTTAAGCCTTGCATGAGAAGAACTTAATACACAAATACATAATAATATAATATTATAATAAAAATAATTGTGTTTATACTAACCCCGTAGGTACATTTTCCTTCTTGAGACAAAAACATCCACAACCTACAAAAAACCTTTGATGATGTATATTATCCATAATTTGTTATAGCAGTTTGTTTATGTGCTACTCAAGAGACCAAAATATGAGTAAAAGTTTTGTTTAGTCTGATTATGGAATGAGTATTTGAGTTGTAGAGTTGCCTATGCTAAAATGTTATAATTCCAGTCCTCTAAAATTACAAAGCAGCTGACAAGGCTTTAAAAGTTATAAAGTAGTAGTTAAAAGTATTTCTGTATTTTCTTTGTTCTATACTGTATTGAGCAACTATGGTTGACCTTTTATAATAATGGCAAGTTATGCTATTATATCTAGTTTGTTTCAATGGATTGTTGCAAATGAAATACTATTTACATAAGTGTTGTTAGATACTATAGATTTGGGCACGGTTTATTTTTCAGTACAATAATAAAACATTAATAAAATGTGCAATAAAAATAAACTGTGAATATGACGGAGACATTTTATTTTCGAACATATTATTCTGGTGCTGATATTGCATAAGTTGTTTGTCTTTATTTGTTTCAGATAACTGACGATAGTGCTTGAACTTTGACATTGATGTAAGACATTATTTTATGAGAACTGTCTCTTTAACTCCACTCGATAGTAGTCTTATGAAGAACATTGAACTTACCGGTCCTATACAAACATGGTTATTTTAAGATTTTTTGCGTCTGAAGCCTTTAGTGCTCATAAAACAAAAGAGATATTGCAGAAGTTGCAAAACATTGATACGGACATATCAGGGCTGTCAACAGAACTTTGTTACCATGTGGAGTTGGCCGATGGGTGTGATTATTTGAATATCAATCAAATTAAGATCTTACAGTGGCTTCTGAGTTCACCTTTACAGCCTCACGCCTTGTATAATGAATCAATCTACAAGATTGTCAGAGATAATCAGATTATTGTTGAAATTGGACCCAGGTAACTAATATTTCAATTAATTTATTACATAAGAAGTATTTTACTGTGCATGTTGACCCTTAAGATTTCTCTACTAGAAGAGGACTTGTGTTATGTTACAAGTAAAGTCAAGTAGACTTATTTATAAAATAATCATTATTCCAGGTTCAATTTCTCAACAGCTGACTCTAGTAATTCGGTCCAAATATGTGAAAGTGTTGGATTACGTGACATTGTTCGTCTTGAGGTATCTACCAGATATCTTATTTCATTCAATAAAGCTAAAAATGTGTCTAACAAGTTGTTTGAAGATTTGGCTGCGCCTTTACACGATCGGATGACCGAATGCATTTATACTAGTAAGAACTTGCCGAGAAAGAGTTTCAATGAAGGATTGCCCAAGGATCTGGAGGCTTGGTTTGTGGTGCCATTACAAAAAGAGGGTAGGGCTGCTATGGAACATGTCAATCAAAAGTTAGGTAAGCGTTAATTTTTTTATAAAATATTATTTCTAATTCATAATTTCTTAAATAGTGTGTTTATAACTATGGGGCTATTTATTTCAGGATTGGCATTTGACTCCTGGGACATGGACTTCTACATGGATCTGTTCGTAAACAAATTGAAACGTGACCCTACCAGCGTTGAGTTATTTGACCTTGCGCAGAGTAACAGCGAGCATTCGCGACATTGGTTCTTCAAGGTAACATATCTGTCTCAAAGTCCAGTAACCAGTTGATTGATTTATTAATAAAGTGGTCTTTATCTACTTGTTACTAAGTCATACATAATATTAACATGTATCATGCTTGAATATGTTTCTCTTCATGCTTTAAGAATGATCAGGTAGCCAATTTATGTTAAGCTATTTTTCAGGGCAAGATAATATTGGATGGCAAAGAAATAGACCAATCACTTATTGATATGGTAGCATCGACGCAAGAAACTTCTAACAATAATAATGTAATTAAATTCGGGGATAACAGCAGGTAATGAACAATTTTACGGGTCTATAATGTCACATCACTGATCAATTGACAGTAAATTAATGTACTATGAAGTATCCAAGTGGCTTTAAATGAAACCGTTTATTGTTACAGTGCCATAAAAGGTTTCAAGCATACGAAAATTCGCCCAACCAACGTAAGGGCCCCATCTCAAGTGATTTCAGAGGAGGTTGTGTCTGATATCATATTCACGGCCGAGACCCATAATATGCCCACCGCAGTGGCCCCATTCAGTGGGGCTACTACTGGTACAGGGGGGCGAATTAGGGACGTTCAGGGCGTAGGCAGGGGTGGCCATACTGTAGCAGGGACAGCCGGGTACAGTGTAGGCAATTTGCACATCCCAGGTAAGTGATCTAATGATATCTATATTTATAAAAGAGAATGGTCACTGATTAACTGACTGACTCACTCAGTCATCACGAAATCTCAGAAGCTACAAGTGCTAAGAGTTGGGGGCTCCTTTTAGAATGTAGGTGCTCACTAAGAACGGATTTTATGTAACTCCACCCCTAAAGGGTAAAACGGGACCCACGCGTACGAAGTCGCGGATCGCTAGTTTTTATGTGATTGTAAAAAGACAGAAAACACGTGACGAAAATATTTTTTTGTCTACAGGATATGAATTGCCATGGGAGGAGAAAGGATGGGAATATCCCAGCAACTTTGCCAGTCCGTTACAAATAATAATTGACGCCAGTAACGGTGCATCTGATTATGGAAATAAGTTTGGTGAACCTGTGATTACAGGTATTAATAATTAGAATAGATTTCAACATTCAGTCTTGTGTATAAAACCTTGGATTAAATGTGTGTCTCTTTTCTAGGATTCGTCCAAACGTATGGTTTGAAGAACGCCGATAATGTAAGAGAGGAGTTCGTGAAACCAATCATGTTCAGTGGCGGTATTGGATACATGCCCCATACTATGATTAAGAAGAATAAACCAGAAAAAGGTACAATCTCCCTTAAAGTTTCCTATAGACTTGTTATTACATGAGTTCATTCATACATTAATATGGATATTATTTTAGGAATGTTGCTGGTGAAAGTAGGAGGCCCAGTCTACCGTATCGGAGTTGGTGGTGGAGCCGCTTCCTCAGTGGCCGTTCAGGGTGGTGATTCAAGAGACCACGCTTTGGACTTTGGTGCTGTGCAAAGAGGTATAACGTCAATACTCTAATTTCTTTACCACACAGTGAAAGAAATCTAGACAATTCAGCTCATTCGTTGTCGTATCATGCGTCGTATTTCATGTGGAGTTTCAAGGTCAACATACAAGTAATAGAGAGAATAACTTGACGTCTTGTGTGTACAATCACGGTAATAATATCATACAGTATTGTAACTTCATATAAACAGACGAAACGAGCACTTTAATTCGAAATTCAAATCTCGGTATGCGCTCGGTATGCAAAAGTCGGGGGTGTCGCGAATGTGCCGAATGGACGTCGGTGGCCAAGTGTTAAAAATGACAAAACTGATTGAATTTGACTGACCGTCATTTACGATCAAATTGGTCAAAAACTAGTCAAATTGTCATTTTCAGTCAGTTTGATTTGAAATGAAAATTATATTGTATTAAACCAGCTTTTGCCCACGACTTCGCTCGGCCGAAATTAACGTACAAGATCATTATGATTATTAAAGTTTCAAAATTATTTAAGTAGTTTTAAATAAATTAAATCTACTAATCACAAAACAACACACATTTTTAACCTATTCCATTCACAAAGTATTTTGTTTGTCTAACTAAATAAAAAAATACAATAACAAAACTAGATAGAAATTCTAACTAGGCAGATGTAATTAAACTGGGTACTGTAGGTGGGCAGCCCTATCGCATGTTGTCATACTGTGACGTACCGCGCGACTTTTGACATTTATTTGAAAAATATGGCCGAGTTGGAATACTGTATAGATAGTATTACCGTGGTACAATGTACATGCGTAAACTTTATTTGGTGTCGTCAATTGTTATCCAATCATTTGTTTAAAATTATTGATTATTGTGTTGTAATTAAATGTTTTTGTTTTTAGGTGACGCTGAAATGGGAAATCGCCTCAATCGAGTGGTCAGAGGATGTTTGGAATCTGACATCAATCCAGTTGAATGTATGTCGATGATCATAATAACATATTACATCTTATTTGACTTCTAGGCATAAAAGAAATATCTAAAACAACATTTTATTTACAGCGATTCACGACCAAGGCGCCGGTGGCAATGGAAACGTCCTCAAAGAGTTGGTAGAGCCTGAAGGTGCTGTGGTCTTCACTAAGGAATTCCAACTTGGAGACCCGACCATTACTACTCTTGAACTTTGGGGCGCAGAATATCAAGAAAATGATGCTTTGTTGTGTAGTAAAGCTAACAGGCCCGTACTAGAAGGCAAGTACTTGTTTTTATTGAAGGGGCTATTTCAGCGTGCGTTTTTTCGGCGCTTATAAGCTTGTTTTTGGTAGCGCTATCCGCGTTTATTCAAGCAACAGCTGAGTTGACCCGGTGAACTTCCTACTGCCTATTATCAGAAATAGTGCAAGATTCTGATGGTGAAAGATTATTTCAAATAGATCCTGTAGTTTCGGAGTCTATTGAATACAAACAAACAAACAAATCTTTCCTCTTTATAAAATTAATGTAGATAAAAATAAATATGGAGGTTAATTAGCCTATGCAGGTAGCTGGTATGCTTTAAACGCAATCAAAACTATTCTAACTTACATCTTTGTTAATACAGAAATTTGTCGACGTGAAAGGTGCCCTGTGTCGTTCGTTGGAGAAGTCACTGGCGATGGTTTCATGAGCTTAGTTGAGGATTCATTCACTGATAAATACTTGGACAGAGCCACTAGACTGAAGCCAGAGTCAAACTCTAAAGTTCCCTATGACTTGCATTTGGAAGCAGTTTTAGGTAAGTTGATCTTTTTCTTGGCATTTTTCATAGTTATGTCGCGCAGCAAGTGTTAGGGTGATCAACAATTTGTATCTTGTATATTTTTGTCGCGCTGACAAAATGTGTGTATTCTTTATACAAATATTACATCAGTGTAAGTACGTGTTCGCCTCAACTTTAGTTGAGCGACCTATATCGATTCTGAAAAGGACTAAAACTTTTGCTCTTTAGTTTTTGGTTATTATCATATTTTCTTTGTTATGTTTTGTAGGAAACATGCCAAGAAAGACATTTGATTTGAAGAAGGAGAAGAGAACCAAACTGCCGCTGTCTTTGCCTAGCGATGTCACAGTTAAGAGCGCCCTCGACAGAGTTCTGAGACTCGTGAATGTGGCTAGCAAGAGATATTTAACTAATAAGGTAATTTAACTAACGATATAATTACACCACAAGTTAATTTTGTACGTCCAAAGAATAATAAACGCGCAATTAGAAATGGCAAAACACACAAAAGGTGTTGACATGTGTCGCGAAACGCAGGAAGCGAGAAATTAATACATCAACTAAAAAGTTAATGTATTCATTTCTCGTGACAAAAGTCACGTTTGCCGGTTACTGCTATTGAACGACCTTGAATTTTTTTAAATTATATTTTCAATCAAGTATTATAGAGTCGGCCTTCGGGTGCAACATATTAATTACTTACGTTTTCATATAAATGTATGAATGTTTCTTTTGAAATGACATTTCAAATACCCAACACCTGTCAATACACAAATCTTTACATAGCCTCCGTTGAACCTAGAAACTTAATATTTATTAAGATGATAATATGTAAATTAGCATAAAAAGTGACTTCTGATGATATTGAATTGTACTAGAGTGTATGTTAAATGAAACATATTTGTTAAAACGTTTTAACAACCATGTTTAAAGTAGCCCTACTTGTAGAAAAAGATTTAGAGGTAGATAGATAAAGATGTAATAAGAATGAACGTGAAACTTAATTCAAATAATATTTTTGCCAGGTGGACCGTTGCGTCACAGGACTTGTAGCGCAACAGCAATGCGTTGGGCCCTTACACACTCCATTAGCCGACTGCGCCATCATAGCTTTGTCTTACAACGAGCTGGTGGGATCAGCTACTTCAATCGGCACCCAGAACATTAAGGGCCTATTAGACCCTGCTGCGGGAGCGAGAATGTCCCTTGGTGAAGCTTTGACTAATTTGGTGAGTACATTTATCATCATCATCATTTCAGCCACAGGATGTTCACTGCTGAACAAAGGCCTCCCCCAATGACTTCTACATCGAACGGTTGGTAGCGGCCTGCATCCCTGCTACATTCATAATTTTTAAAAAGCCACATTTTGAGTTACAACACTGTTATACCTACTCGTATTATTATTAGTGCGATGTATAAGTTTTTAACTGCGCAAAAGATCGTTAACGTTTCCCAACCGGAAAACCAAGGCATTGTATTTATATTTGGACTCCTGTAACCTACACCATGTTGTTGCATATTCATATGAATATTCAATTGGTTGGTTGATATTTTTTTTATGTTTATTTGGAAAACCTACAACTCTTCTTACTAAGCAATACTTAGCATGTTAGGAGAACTTGTATTGATTGCGAAAAAATATAGTTTTGAAAGTATCTTGGTACAACTACATACCTTATGATGCAGTTATGCGTTGTTAGACATTTACACTGTCTGGCGAGATTACGGTCTAATCCATGGCATTGACCACATGTATATTATTTATAGGTGTTTGCCGGCATATCAGAGTTAGAAGATGTCAAATGCTCAGGCAACTGGATGTGGGGTGGCAAGACAGGCGTCGAAGGTGGGACTTTGGTGGTGGCCTGCGATGCCGTATGCGCCGCTATGAGGAAGCTCGGAGTGGCCATCGATGGAGGAAAAGACTCGCTGTCTATGTGCGCCTTTGTTGCGGGACAGAAAGGTAAATAAAGGGTCATTACTGTCTTGTCTTATAAGGAGTTGGTCGCATAATTATTTTTGATCCATATTACGAAAAGATGCTTAAAATCTAGGAATCTCAGGACAAGTCTTGGGTTGACTTACTTTCAAGCTTGAATCTATTTTCCGTTCCCGTCCTATAATTGGTCTAAATATTGGAATTCATCAAATAAGAAGCCTCGATATGTGCATGAAATTGAATTGAGTTGTCTTATTTGTAATACAAAAGTTTCATTCCTAAAAAAAGAAGTTGTTTTGCACTGTCGCATTGTTTTGACTTATCATTTATTTTGTTCCAGTGAAATCACCCGGTACTTTAGTGGTTTCAACTTACGCGCCCTGCCCGGACATCACGGTGAAAGTTGAGCCCGCGCTCAGAGCTGAAGGCTCTGCGTTGGTCCATGTTCCAGCTACACCAGGAAAATACAGGTTGGTTACAAAGTCACAGTCTTTTGCACCTTTCTATACACCCGTCTCTTTAAATCACCGAGTGTAAGAGAGAGAGAAAGATAAACGTATTAAGTGATAGAGCCTCTACTCCGAATTATCAATTTGAAACAGCCGTCTCAAGTTATCGAGAAATACTTGTATGAGTGAGAGAGACAGAATGTATCTAAATATGTATTTATGATGCAAAATTAACTAATTCGGACTTTTTGTAGACTTGGCGGTTCTTCGCTGGCGCAATGTTACAAACAGCTTGGAGACAACCCACCAGACCTAGACGACCCATTGGTTCTGAAGTCACTCTTCAAGGTTACACAAAAACTATTGAAAGGTATATCTTACTTCCAATATTGATGTTGTAAATTAGGGAATCGAAATAAAGGGTTTTAAAGAGAAAAAACCTAATTTTTTTTTACAGAAAATAAATTGCTATCTGGTCACGACATTAGCGAAGGTGGTTTCATAACCACAGTCTTAGAGATGGGCATTGGAGGTGTTCGCGGATTGAACATTGACTTGCAAGTCGAAAGCAACGTGTCTGCTATCGAGGCGTTGTTCAATGAGGAACTGGGCATCGTGGTCGAAGTGGCTCAGGCTGACTTGGCTTATGTACTCAACGAGTATAATAAGAACGGAGTGAAGGCTAAACATATTGGTAGCACGGGACAGTATGGAATGAAATCTAAGGTAAGTTATTTATTTATCTTTTTATTAAATCGTTTCAAGAGTGATGACATACATATTTGGTATATAGGGTGGAAACGATAAGTGATCTCACTCGATTATTTCTAAACTATACAAGATGTCGAAAAACTAGTTACTGATCAATAAATAGGTTACAGAATAAACTGGGTCTATCCGAAAATTCAATGTTTCCAGCTTAAATTGTCCTCTTCAGCTTTACCTAAAACTGCGTATTGACGCCTGATAAAACTATGTGCATTGCCTGATACATTATGTATAGGCGACATCACATTGAAATAAATACTGACACATATTATGTAGTTGCAACAAGCGCTATTTTACAACAAGATGGTATATTCTGATGTGTTCTCAACACGGTCATTTAGTTTTTATTTCCATTGCAGGTCAGTGTTAACGTAAACGGCGTTCAAGTACTGAACACGGAGTTGATCGATGTATTTAGGATGTGGGAAGAAACCAGCTATCAGTTGGAGTGTTTGCAAGCTAACTCTGACTGCATCAATGAAGAATGGAAAGGTACATCTTCAATGATTCAATCATAGAGTATAGAGTCGTTGGACTTTTATAAACATTTATTGCTTTCTACTTCACAGGTCTTGAGAAACGTAAAGGTGCGACATACAACGTCACGTTCGATCCTTCTGCAGCGATATTGAAAACCAAATCCGTTAAAGTGGCTGTACTGCGTGAAGAAGGTACTTTTTAGTTCAAGTTTGTCTAATTTTCATTTCAAAATAATTTATTTTTATAGAATATTCGACTCTATTTCTTAATACTAACTACTTATTATAGGAACAAACGGCGATCGTGAGATGATTGCGTCACTGATGATGGCGAACTTCGATGTGTTTGACGTCACGATGAGCGACCTTCAAAATAAGAAAATAACTCTGGACGCCTTCCAAGGACTCGTCTTCCCCGGTGGATTCAGCTACGCAGGTATATTTTTTGAATAAATAACTCTCCTAAACATATCTATCATCTAAGTAGTTCTGAATGTGAACCATAATGCAAGGCTTCAAAACTTCACCTAATTTTACAAGGAGGGTCGAGTCGCATTCATATAAAAAAAAATCTTCAGAAATACGTGAAATTTACCACTACTAAGCGTTATTTAATATTGGCTAGTGATTTTATCAATCGGGTCAAGGTCTCTAAATGTGTAAACATGTTCGTCCATGACGTCAAATTCTCGTAAACAATATTATCAATGAAAGTTGTATAAGATAGGCGGTTTGCATTATTTTGTCTTCTATTTGTTTAACTAATGAATTTGTGACGTATCTCCAAATGAAAGTGAGAGTCATTACGTGTGTGTGCCTTTATAAATGACCAATTAGAGAAAATACATATTTTTTGCAGATACGTTGGGTTCTGCCAAAGGTTGGGCGGCAGGTATCCTATTCTCAGAGTCACTGAGCGCACAGTTCGCTCACTTCAAAAACCGAAGTGACACTTTCTCGCTGGGCGTCTGCAATGGCTGCCAGTTGATGGCCCTTCTGGGCTGGATAGACCCGCAACAGCCGCGTAGAAACCAAGAGAAGGCTCAGATATTCCTGGATCACAATAGCTCCGAAAGGTATAGATGACCCACGCTGAACTGTCCCACCAAACTCAATGACAGGGGGCCGCTACTATCGTTCAACTGTATGGTTTCCAACATGGCAAAAATCGGAACCAGCGATCCGGTATTGACGGTGGCGCCCCACTGTCAATGTCATGCATAGGACAGTTCAGTATTATGGAACTATATGCTGTTTGCTTATTTCTTACTAACGTCAATTCATATTGAAATTGTAATATTGTCTTAAGCTGTTAAATGAATCATTTTGCACGGATGCACCCTTTAAAGTGAGTATAGACTAGATAAGAGCATTGCTATGTAATGTAACGTTCTTACGAGTGGTACAGTACAGGTGTACAACGTTTGGTTCGTGAAAAGATGACACTAACACTGACACCAGAACGTTTCACAGAGCGGTTCGTTATTCTGTTACAACTAAATGCTTTAGTTAGCCTATACTCACCTTTAGATAAAAAGAAACAGGCTATGTAATTTAAACTTAACTTAAACCAGGCCTGTTCATCTCCGCGAGTTTACATCGAAAACAAAACGCGCACGATGGCACCATACAGGATTGCTATTCGACAAGGCCTCACATACGAGCGAGCATTAACGCACGCACGCGTATTCTTGTGTATGATGGAAAAAAATAAAGAAAATGGTGTACTAAATACTGTGCAGTATTTAACTGCTGTATTTAAATAATAATAAAAACACAATGTACTTTTTTAAGTTGCCTGAAGACACTGAGAGGTAAATAAGTAGTTAATATTATTCATGATAATTCAAGCTAAATCATGTATTTCCTCCGCCATTTTCTGCAGTTTGGCACCTCACGTCACATCATTTTAGCGAAGTCAGCCCTGTAGCTACGGCGCAGTACCGATCACTGAAGTTTGGCAACAAAATGGTGCTTGACTCTTGAGACAAGCTAAATTACATCATATTGTTAATGATATTGAGCATACATTTTTTTAAATACCTTCGCGAAGTAAAACTTCTGTACGTGGTACTTATTATTATTCTGTGCTTAAACTAACGATCTGTTTAAACTTCAGATTCGAATGTCGTTGGAGCGCAGTAAAGATCACCGAAGAGCGCAAGCAAGATGTATGGTTCCGCGGAATGGGCGGCAGTGTGTTAGGAGTGTGGGTGGCCCACGGCGAGGGCAGGTTCACATTCGCCGACGAACTGGTGATGGACAAGGTGAAGAGGAACGGACAGGTCGCCATGCAGTATGTGGATGATGATGGAGCACCCACTGAGGTTTACCCGATGAACCCTAATGGAAGTCCAAGTAAGTTTTGTACTTTAAACTTTTGAAAAATGAATTATAATTATACCATAGAACAAAAATACAAATTATGTTGGTCTTTTACGTTTCCACGATCAAACTCAGAACCAATTTTGATCAATTTTTGTATAGAGATACTTGGTACTGTCACGGTTGGAGCTTTAGAGCCAGGTGACATGATTAGAATTTAGATTAGAAGTTAGATAAATAAAAGATGATTTAGGATAACAAGTAATTTATTTAGATTTAAAGAAGTGAGAGACCTTAAGGGTGTGGGTTGTCGAGCAAACTATCGTATCGCACGAGATTCGTCACCGGTGGTAGTATATTCAAACCACTGTCCTCGCTAGCGCTGATGGTGATGTGGTTTGGTTCTTCGAGATGGTAGGCCCGCAGAGTCGCCGACGCGCCAGACGGTTAGGGCCGTACGCACTGTGGTGTAGGGCCACTTAGAGTGTGCGCACGGGCCGTCCGACACGGCAGGCAGCTCTGCCGGGTTGAAGAGCCAGGTGGTAGGATCGGCAGTGGTGACCATGCATGGTGTAGTAGGTAGAAGAAGATGAAGGTGGAGATGAACGTGAGCGTGAACCCTGCAAATCAAAGCGGACACTAAAGCAGTTGCTAGCTTTTGTCCGTTTGACTGCGACATCAAAATACTAGCGAAGCAGATGGAATGATTTTGGTAATAAATGGTGATGTAATGATGTGGCAGTCAAACAGAATTACAGTAGTGAAAGGTGAAGTGAAGTAGGCAGAATATTAAATTATGTAGGTAGAAAATAATTTAGCATATCATCTATGTAGACAATTAATTTAGAATAATTATAACAAGTAGAATAAGATTAAAATAGTTCAATTTAGCAAATTAAATAGAATTTGGAATAAGTGTCGTTACAGTACGAACAAGGTCATTTAAAGGTCATGACGTGTCGATGTCATTTCATAAAATATTTAGTTTATTTATTTAATCATGTAGTAAGTTGTAAAATAATAATATTAAGAAGTTATAGAAATAGGAAATTTGTATGAAATGACACCGAGCACATGGATAGCACATTTCAAGAACAAAATGGCGGCTAGGCACTTACATTTAGGACAAGTATAAAATCTAAGCGTTAAAAATACTTTTGCAACACTCACCCGGTAGCGGGGTTCACCAATACGCGATTACATTTTAGTTTCTAAGATATTATGTACATCGCGGGTCCGGCGGTGACGGACAGCGATACGTCCGTGCTCACTAACGCTCTGGCTCGGACTAGGAGACGCGGCGGGAGCATCGCGGCCGTAGGCGCGTCGCTTGCGCATGCATAAAAAACAGTCCGCCCGCTCGACAGAGAACAAAAGAAATATTGAACAACTTGTTTCGCGCGGGTTTGCTTGTAGATTTATTATTTTATTTATTTTATTAGTGTAGAACAATATGAATTATTTAATTAAGTTATTTAGTTAGGTAGTTTACGTAGATTTAGATATATTATTATTTAAGTTTATTTATTTAGGTAGATAATAGTAATTAAATTAGAATTTAGATCTAAGATAAAGATCAGCGGTAACGCTAACCGTTACATATCCCCCTTTTTACGGTAGGATTTTACCTAAGGAAAATCCGCTATCTTAACTGTACTAGCTAATCTTGAGTCTGACTAACAAAATAAACATTTTAGGTCTGTTTACTTGCAACCTGACGTACAGAGTATATGATTTTTAGTAGATCTCATAATACTCACAAGATTCATTAAGTTAAGATTTAGAGAAAGTCATAAGATAACTATAAATTAAATGAAGAGGTCGGTATATTATCTGTAGGGTAGACTACAGCTAATTACAAGTATGCGCAGTTGTTTAGCAACTGCTGCACCCAACAACTTCGTATCTTAAGTCCTAAGCAATGCAAAGAGGTACTTAGTAGAGTGTACCTTGCAATCCATTTTAGATGGTGCGTCAGACAAGACAGTTAAAAATAGTTTTAGACTATAATTAAGGTAGATTTTCAAAGATAGGTTTAAGAAATATCAGTAGGTTAGATACGAGTAGGTCTAATAAATTGTTTATTTTTAGTATTATTTACAATTTATTATTTAATTTAATAGTTTAATTATAAGTACCACTTTTAGTTACAAGTTAAATTTATATTTTAGTTAGAATTACCGAGTACGTAATATAAAAAAAATACTAGGTAGGCACGCGGGTGTGTGTTGCAAATTACACAATAAGACAGTAATCATTACAATTTAGTTTAACAAAATCTATGTGTGGTAGGTAGTAGTAAAAGTTAAATTATATTACCAAAGGTAGGTAGAATTTAGTTAATATTATAAAATGTAGGTAGATACATTTTATCTTTAAGGAAATTATAGTAGGTAGAATAGTGTAGCTATTCTCCACAAAAATTACAAGTTTAGTAGTACCACACAGATATTACAATATTAGTTACAATCTTATAACTAAGTTATTTGAATGCCAACACCAAGAATAACCATTTATTACAAGTAAAACTCACCGGTAACGTCTCAAGTGCGATAGGATAGACCGGTATGGGCGCCAATGTCACGGTTATGCGCTTTAGAAGCAGTGACATAATAGAATTTAGATTTAGTTTAGCCCCACGTTGGGCGCCAANATATTGTTCGAACCCTTAGTATTTCTCTTCGACAAATACTTTAACACATTGTGAACCACTTTTCTTTCACGACTATAAAAATATTTTAGCAATTTAATTCATAAAACCAATTGCGCACATTTAAAATAAAGTTTGTTTACACTTTGACAGCAATAGACTGACATGCAAGGTGACATGTCAATGAAGTTTTCAGTTACTGTTGCCATTAAAAGAAATTAGTACCATTAGTTTTCCGCAACATGGCGAGGGTTTTTATGTTCCTGGTCAGGCTATAGTTGTTGATAGGCGTATTGCATTTGTTTTTTATTTGTTTAACTAATGAATTCGTGACTTATCTCCAAATGAAAGTAAGAGTTATTACTTAGGTATGTGATGTGAACCTTTGTAAATGACCAATTAGATAAAATACGTATTTTTTTCAGATACATTGGGTTCTGCCAAAGGTTGGGCGGCAGGTATCCTATTTTCTGAGTCGCTGAGCGCACAGTTCGCTCACTTCAAAAACAGAAGTGACACTTTCTCGTTGGGCATCTGCAATGGCTGCCAGTTGATGGCCCTTCTAGGCTGGATAGACCCACAACAGCCGCGTAGAAACCAAGAAAAGGCTCAGATATTCCTGGATCACAATAGCTCGGAAAGGTATGCTGTTTGATTAATTCTTACTAACGTCAATTCATATTGAAATTGTAATATTGTCTTAAGCTGTTAATGAACCATTTTGCACGGATGCATACTTTAAAGGGTTAAAGTGAGTATAGACTATATTAGAGCATTGATATGCAATGTAACGTTCTTACGAGTGGTACAGTACAGGTTTACGACGTTTGGTTCATGAAAGGATGACACTAACACTGACACCAGAACGTTTCACAGAGCGGTTCGTTATTCTGTTACAACTAAATGCTTTAGTTAGCCTATACTCACCTTTAGATACAAAGAAACAGGCTATGTAATTTAAACTTAACTTAAACCAGGCCTGTTCATCTCCGCGAGTTTACATCGAAAACAAAACGCGCACGATGGCACCATACAGGATTGCTATTCGACAAGGCCTCACATACGAGCGAGCATTAACGCACGCACGCGTATTCTTGTGTATGATGGAAAAAAATAAAGAAAATGGTGTACTAAATACTGTGCAGTATTTAACTGCCTAAATAATAATAAAAACACAATGTACTTTTTTAAGTTGCCTGAAGACACTGAGAGGTAAATAAGTAGTTAATATTATTCATGATAATTCAAGCTAAATCATGTATTTCCTCCGCCATTTTCTGCAGTTTGGCACCTCACGTCACATCATTTTAGCGAAGTCAGCTCTGTAGCTACGGCGCAGTACCGATCACTGAAGTTTGGCAACAAAATGGTGCTTGACTCTTGAGACAAGCTAAATTACACCATATTGTTAATGATATTGAGCATACATTTTTTTAAATACCTTCGCGAAGTAAAACTTCTGTACGTGGTACTTATTATTATTCTGTGCTTAAACTAACGATCTGTTTAAACTTCAGATTCGAATGTCGTTGGAGCGCAGTAAAGATCACCGAAGACCGCAAGCAAGACGTATGGTTCCGCGGAATGGGCGGCAGTGTGATAGGAGTGTGGGTGGCCCACGGCGAGGGCCGGTTCACATTCGCCGACGAACTGGTGATGGACAAGGTGAAGAGGAACGGACAGGTCGCCATGCAGTATGTGGATGATGATGGAGTGCCTACTGAGGTGTACCCGATGAACCCTAATGGAAGTCCAAGTAAGTTTTGTACTTTAAACTTTTGAAAAATGAATTGTATACCATAGAACAAAATACAAATTATGTCAGTCTTTTATGTTTCCACGATCAAACTCAGAACCAATTTTGATCAATTTTTGTATAGAGATACTTGGTACTTATTACTAGGCTACCTTTTGAAATAGAAAACAATTTTAAAGGGGAAGTATTTCGCTCTCCATAAAAACTATTTGTTACATGATGGATATTATTTTCATGATCGCGTTTCCCATTCGCAACGCTTATTTCGAACTCAAAACGAGATTAAAGCTAGTTTGATGAAAGTAATCACATCACCTCCTTACTATTTATAGATAGTGCCATCCACGAAAACGCGCCCAACCATTCTTCCGCTAATGTTTGAGTGTCATCAGTACACGCTAAATTATCCATGAGACCTCACCGAAAATTTGTGGCGCGCGTCTTCGCGGACGGCATGATTTATGCCGGCGGTTTCTTTTTTTTCTACTTTATTCAAAGTCAAAATTTCTTTATTTGTTTAGGACTAATAAATAGTTCTTACAAATCGTCATTTTGCTCTTAAGGAGCCTCTACATGTCTCATAATCTTTTTACCCTACCAGCGCTTCGAGACCAACATTTGGCAAGTGCTGAGAAGAAGCGCCGCAACAAACTCAGTCACCACTGTCTGCCGGTTAATATAAATAAATAGAAATAGCAGTAGTAGGTACATTCGATTCAGGAGCAGTTCACTGAATTTACCATGCATTCTTGTATAGTGTATAATGGGTATACAAAATTGCGTGGTATATTAAACAAGGTAGTGACGTGCTAATATCTAGACTTACAGATTACTGAACACCTTGTACCTACTACCCTTTATTGTTGGAACTTCTGTATAATTGCGAAGTGAATAAATGAATATGAATATGTCTCGAAGCGCTGTTAGGGCCCAAAAGATAAGGAGACATGTAAAGTGCCCCATAAGGGCTACCTTTTATTTTTTTATTTTTTGACGTTCATAAGTGCCACTTGTGGTCTAAACTGAATAAATAAATAAATATCCTTGGACATTTTACACTGCGCCGCTAGCCCCAAACTAAGCAAAGCTTGTACTATGGGTACTAGACAACGGATATAAACATACTTAAATACTTTTTTTTTTGTAAATACATACATATTATAAATAGTAAACACCCAGTCCAATACAAACAAATATGTTCATGCACACAAATGTTTGTACTGTGCGGGAATCGAACCCGCAACCTCCGGAATAGTAGTCCGATTCGAACCACTACACCAAACGGCCGACTAATATATAAATGATTTTGATTTTTGATTCTTCACTCCACAGTGGGCATCGCCGGAGTGCGTTCCCCCGACGGGCGCCACATTGCCATGATGCCGCACCCCGAGCGCTGCGTGCTGCGCTGGCAGGCCGCCGCCCCCGCGCCCGCCGCGCCCGCCCCCGCCCGCGCCTCCAGCCAGGCGTCACCGTGGGTCAGACTGTTCCAGAACGCGTACACATGGTCTACCAGCCAATAAATAAATCGCTGTAATTTGTAACGAAATGATAGGTATTCTGACACACAACTGTGGGTCTAGACAAAGTGCACTTTTTGATCGAATCGAAAATCGAATCCGTCAAAACTCCATACAAAAAAAAGGCTTTTCGACTGGTTTGCGATTAAAATGTGCACTTTGTCTAGACCCACTGGGTAGTTGACACCAATGACGCGTAAAAGTGTATTTTTTGATGGGTGACGTCTCGCTTCCTATCTTACACCTCGAATATATCAACTGTATGGTTTGTGTCGCCATGATGCCGCACCCCGAGCGCTGCGTGCTGCGCTGGCAGGGCGCCGCCCCCGCGCCCGCCGCGCCCGCCCCCGCCCGCGCCTCCAGCCAGGCGTCTCCGTGGATCAGACTGTTCCAGAACGCGTATACTTGGTCAACGAAGCAATAAATTGTTCCAGAACGCGTATACTTGGTCAACGAATCAATAAATTGTTCCAGAACGCGTATACTTGGTCAACGAATCAATAAATTGTTCCAGAACGCGATAGGCATTTTGACACCACCGCAGTTGGGTAGTTGATACCAATAACGCGTAAAAGTGTAATTTTTGGTAGTTGTTGTCTCACTACCTATTTTATTTTATTTTTTGCCTCGAATAAGTACGAATATAGACGGTTTAACCGTTTGGATCGATTATTCTGAATCTCGCCGTTTTATATTGAAAAATCTCTCCTTAATTGGTAAATTACCTCATTTTATCAATTAGAACTGGCTGAAAACTTGATATGACTGAAATTTAGAGGGACCAAAATAATAATTTTGTACGTTATACTTAGCATACTTTCTTAAGTTATTTTTTATCAAAAGATGTTGATTATAATCATGTCTTTAGTTTTACAATCGTTGTATGATTTGATGTTTACTATAAAAATATTTTTGTTTTGTATACGTTGTTGTGTTGAGTTTATAAGAACTGGAAATGGTTATGTAAGGTTATTATGAATTAAAATGTGCCAAGTTAAACCTAGTATTAAGAAAAAATAGGAGATCTTTTATTACTGTTGTGCGTTGTGTTTTTTAAATTTTGCTTTAAAAAAATTATATCTGATATTTGTCTGTATTCTTCTAAAGAACAATTTGTCAAATTCCTACGTTTAAGGTTTATCATATTTAATATCCATTTTGCATTTTTACTGTATCTGTGATGGATAAGTTGCCTTTACCAGTGAGATGTCTTCCATAAAACATTCCATAAAGTTCCAACAAAATTTTTGAGGCGCTATTTTATGCATTTTAAATCATAGTTCGAGTTAAGATAAATATTTTTATTATTAAGTGAGTTTTCCAATAAAACTTGATGTTTTATATTATTTTGTGTTTAAATTATAACCCTTGATCAGTTAATATACTCTGTAAAGTCTGTAAGTAACGCATAATTATAATTTTTATGTAAAATGGCATAATATCGTAACAGTGATATCATATTTACTGATGATTACGAAATGAATTATTTTATCGCATCTTGCGAACGAAAAATAACTATAGGAAGTTTCTAAAATAAGAGCTTTCAACATCTATTATTTTAGCACATTGCACTTTTGTGGGCGTGGTGAGTGAAAGAGACAATGCTCTACCAGTTCATAATGATATTTTAAATTTTTGGTATCTTGTAATTTGTCCGAATTTGTTATATTTGTAAGGGTCAACTGTAATCTTATTGTTTATCTAGTCAGACCGAGGTGTCAAGGCCTTTTGTAACCATTGACTTTTGGCTTATAAATATGACATCATGATATTAAAATTACAATAAATAAACAGATAAATCCTTGGGGGAGGCCTTTGTCCAGCAGTGGACGTCATTTGGCTGAAACGAACGAAACAGATTTTATATTAAGTCTACCCCCGGTCTGGGTCTATCATATGACTTTATTTGTAACGTACTATGCAAGCGTCTTGTGAAATTGGCGCACAAGTTGTCGTATTGATTATTTTCCATGATGAAATTACATTTATCTTTTGGTATGAGATAAAAACTCTTTTTGTTTTGTGAATACTTACACTACTTAATTACTGTTACAGCTGATAAAAAGCTTTTATAGGTAATTACATAATTTACAGACCGCCACGTTTATTTGTTACAAATTGATCACTTCTTTACTGATAAGAGGTCATCGTTAAACCATGCAATACGCAAAGCGATACTACTTTGTTTAATTATGTTTGCCTATTATCTAGTTATCTTGAGCCCGGAATGCTTTGACCCCTGTATCAGTAGTCCTCAAGTTGTTGTCTTCGCAAGACATACAATGGCCATTTAGATATAACCAATATAAATTTAATTATTTTTTAAAATGCATAAGTTTTTAAAAGACAGCGTTCTCCTGAAGAGATCAGTGGATAGTCTCCAGAAAAATGTTAGAAACGTGAAAAATGTTCCGTTGAAAAGTGTTCGCAGTGTGACCACGACAAGTTTTAATTCGGATAATTTGTTCCCCGAAAGGGCAGATTTTCCGGGAAGGCATATAGGGCCGCGAGATCAAGATGTGGTGACTATGTTAGATTTGCTGGGCTATAAGGTTGGTATAAAATATTTTTTTATTTTAATGTTATAATTAACGAAATGATCATTTACAAAATGTCCTAATGCATGTATTATCTCCCAGTGATTATGGGTGATTGAAGACCATTTGATAATGAAATCCGCCAGATGGCAATACGTAGACGCGGGGTCCAAATGCTGCATGATTGGTTATTTTTGACATGACATTGACAGATATGTCAAAATCCACCAATCACGCAGCAGTCAGACCCCACATCCACGTCCCGCCATCTAGCGGATCTTTCATTCGCGAAAACCCTCATTATTTAAATTACAGAGCTTAGACCGGCTGACGGACGATGCAGTACCGAAGAAAATTCAACTAGAGGGTCTTATGAACATTTCTGAGCCCATAAGTAAGTTAACATCTAAACTATTAAGATAAAATTAAAATTAATTGTTAAAATACTCCTATATTTATTATCCTACTCTAATTTTCAGGCGAATATGATCTCATCGAGAGAGTGCGCAAAATTGCTGAGAAAAATCAAATATGGCGGTCATATATTGGCATGGGATACCACAACTGCTGTGTCCCACACACCATTATGCGGAATATGTTCGAAAACCCTGGATGGTAAATATTAATACAAACCATTTGCTTTGTCATTAAGAATTATTTATTTTTAATTAGATAAACACAATATTTGTTTGCTTATTTTAGGACTACTCAATACACACCTTATCAGCCCGAAATCGCTCAAGGCAGATTGGAAAGTTTACTCAACTACCAAACGATGGTCAGCGATCTTACTGGTTTGGATGTTGCTAACGCGTCTCTATTAGACGAAGGCACTGCAGCTGCTGAAGCTTTATCTCTTTGCCACAGGTATGATTGGTGAAAATCAAAAATATCTCTTGAGTACATCCCAACTAATATTATAAATGCGAAAGTAACTCTGTCTGTCTGTCTGTCTGTTACGCTTTCCCGCTTAAACCTCGCAACCGATTTTGATGAAATTTGGCATAGAGATAGTTTGAGTCCCGGGAAAGAACATAGGATAGTTTTTATCCCGGTTTTTGAAACAGGGACGCGCGCGATAAAGTTTTTCTGTGACAGACAAAATTCCACGCGGGCGAAGCCGCGGGCGGAAAGCTAGTTATGCATAAGTTCCACTTTGTATTTTTTCCAATAATATTTATTTTTCAGACATAACAAAAGAACCAAGTTCGTGGTATCCGAACGACTGCACCCACAGACTTTAGCCGTCGTGCAGACTCGTCTGGATGCCTTAGGACTGGAAGTAATGGTGGTGCCAGATGTAAGACAAGTCGACTTCGCGCAGAGAGATATCTCAGCTGTACTCCTACAATGCCCAGACACCAGGGGCTTGGTGTACGATTATTCTGGATTGGCAGCTGCGGCTCAAGAACACGGGGTCAGTTAGTTAAAATATGTTTGTAACTCTAGACTTTTAAGGCTCAAAGATAATAATAATAAGCAATTATAATTTTATTTCAAAACTCCCGTCCATTGTAATATAGGGGCCTGTTAAGAAGGAGGGCAGGCGAGGGCAACTGATACCCTGAATATTTATAAGAGCAGAAGGTCTAATTTGTCTACCCCCTGCGTCATATTACCCCCCTGGCCCAAAAGATGGTAATGACCATGTTGACATATTAACCTAAACATTACTGTATCTATGCTGTATGGTCAGATTTTACCTTCTTGTATTCTAAATCTCAGGCTTGAATTTTTTTTTCAGACATTGGTCGTGGTAGCAACAGACCTCTTAGCTATGGCGTTATTGAGGCCACCAGCGGAATGTGGTGCAGCGTTAGCAGTTGGGACCTCCCAGCGCCTTGGAGTTCCTCTGGGTTATGGTGGCCCTCACGCTGGGTTCTTTGCCGCTGAACATGCTTTGGTCCGATTAATGCCGGGGCGTATGGTTGGCGTAACAAGAGACGCTACAGGACGAGATGCATACAGGTTATTACTCGATTCTAAACTTTATGTTAATGGGATAAAAGTCTAAAGTAGGTAATTTTACAAAAGTCTTGATACTTTCGTTTCAGATTAGCCCTTCAAACCAGAGAACAGCATATCCGACGTGATAAAGCGACTTCAAACATCTGTACAGCGCAAGCTTTACTCGCTAACATGTCTGCTATGTATGCAGTCTATCATGGACCCCAAGGACTGAGAGATATCGCCACGCGTGTACACAATGCTACGCTTGTCCTCGATCATGGTATGTATTACTAAATGATAAGGTATATTTTGCATTTAAAATTCAAACTCATTAAAATTACACATTACTTTTACAGGCATCAGACAACGTGGTCACAAGCAAACCAACGACGTTTACTTCGATACTCTCCACGTGGTACCATCTTCTGATCATAGTGCGAGTGACATAAAAGCTCGTGCTCAAGCGAAAAAGATAAATTTGAGGTACTTTGACGACGGCGCTGTCGGAGTGGCCTTAGACGAAACGACGACTATGCAAGATGTTGACGATTTGCTGTGGCTCTTTGACTGCCAAAGTGTTAAAGAGGTATTTATCAAACTAAATAAGGAGGATTCAAAATGGTTAAACAGTTTGCAAAATTATTATTCCATCGTTTGTTTTTTTCACAGGTATCCAAAGGTGACGTCACATCGTGCAGCATATTGAAAGGTCCCTTCAGAAGAACTTCGCCGTATCTTACGCATCCTGTATTCAACATGCACCACTCTGAGACCAGAATAGTCAGATATATGAAACGATTGGAAAACAAGGACATATCACTCGTCCACTCGATGATACCTTTGGTAAGAAAATAACTTTAGTTGCACCTCATTTTTTGTCTATTACATAAAAAATATCCAATCCAAAAATGAGTGGTTTATTGAAAACCCAACCGAATTGAAAACCTCCTCCTTTTTCTAGAAGTCGGTTAAAAGGATGCTTTTTCGCAGGGTTCCTGTACAATGAAACTCAACTCCACAACAGAAATGATGCCTTGCTCGTTCAAGCATTTCACCGATATCCACCCATTCGCTCCCCTTGAACAATGCCAGGGTTACCATACGCTGTTTGAAGAGTTGGCGAGTGATCTATGTGCGATTACTGGATACGACCGAGTGTCTTTCCAACCCAACAGGTAAGGCAAGGCAGTTCGTGATTATTTAGTCATATCATTAAACTGATCAGTAGTTTGCTACTGATCATAGTTTACGAATATTAATGAAGCCATTATGTTAAGGTGAAACCATGGAAGTCGAAGTGGAGTTTTTCTATAAGCTGTCAAAGCGGATTTCCATAGATGCTACATACAGCCATAATACGATGTAATGTAACGAACGAAATCTGATGACAAAAAGTAGTCACTACTTCACAAACTCAGTGGATTAATTTTTAATGATTTCCTCGTTTACGTCTTTGAATCTGCCAAAAATGTTTCGTGTTCCTGGCGGCAGAATCAGAAAACCTAATGAAAATAAAACAATTTTCAGCGGTGCCCAAGGCGAATACGCCGGTCTCCGCACCATAAAACGCTACCACGAGTTCCGCGGCGACACCGGCCGGAACATCTGTTTGATCCCGGTCAGCGCGCACGGGACCAATCCGGCGTCTGCGCACATGGCCGGCGCAGGGTTCCTGTACAATGAAACTCAACTCCACAACAGAAATGATGCCTTGCTCGTTCAAGCATTTCACCGATATCCACCCATTCGCTCCCCTTGAACAGTGCCAGGGATACCACACGCTGTTTG